ACTGTTGCTTTCTCACTCTTTCCTTTCCTTCCCTCCCTCCCTCTTTCCTTTCTTTCCCCATTCTTCCTTCCTTCCTTCCCCCCACTGTTGCTTTCTCACTCCTTCCTTCCTTCCCTCCCTCCCTCTTTCCTTTCTTTCCCCATTCTTCCTTTCTTCCTTCCCTCCCTTCCTTGCCCCACTCTTGCTTTCTTACTCTTTTCTTCCCTCCCTCCCTCCTTCCTTTCTTTCCCCACTCTTCCTTCCTGCCTTCCTTCCTTCCCTGCCATCCTCCACTCTTGCTTTCTTCTTTCCTTCCTCTTTTCTCTCTCTCTCTGTCTACCTCCCTCTTATTTCTATTTTTTTTCTCTCTTTTCACATCTCACTCTTTCTCCTACCCAGCTACCAGCGGTGCCTGTCATGCTGGATTAGCTTAATGCTTGCAGGCTTCGTCTTGCACCTGGCTGGTGCCACTTTTGTGATTCCTCCAGTGCTGTTGGCACAACTGCCTTTTCCGCACCCCAGAAAAATGGAGGAATTCAGTGCCCTGGGCAATGCCTGGCGTGGGCAGGCAGCCCCTGTGTCAGTGATCTGGGGGAACCATTGTTGTCTTTTGCAAGGCCTCTGGGTTGAAGGGACCCGGGGCGGATTTGTCCCACGGCCAAGGATGAACAGCTGCTGTCCTTGGAAAGGAGACAATCAGGCTTCCAGAAAGGGCAGATGTTCAACTGGGAGAGCGGTTGAATGGCCTTCAGATAGCGATAGCACACCTGCAGTTGCAGGCCAGCTGTGAAGGAGGCATGTCCGAAGGACAGAAGCCAAAACACGTTACAGATGCATAAATCATGCAAAGGAACTTGCAGATGGAAAGCTAGTAAGTCAAGGGATGGAGAGGCTAACCCCGGGAGGTCTTCAAACTTGGCCCTTTTATCATTGGCGTGCCTGGCTGAGGAATTATGGGAGTGGAAGTCCGCAAGTCACAAAAGGGCCAAGTTTGAAGACCCCTGGGCTAACCTGAAGAGCTAGCTTTCTAGGTGCGGGGCTGCCCCTTAAACATAGGTAGCTCAGCCCTTTGCAGGCGAATTGGAAAGAAAATCAGTCTTGAGTTTGCATGTTTATTTAAGAAATGTATATGGCTGCCTGTCTAGCGGTGGGGGGGGGATTCTGGGTGGCAGGCAACCACAATATCTGTTTGTCTGTCTCTGTCATCTGTCATCTATATCTAGCTATTATCTTTCTATCTAACTACTGTATATCTCTATATCTATCTATCTCTATCTATATCTCTATATATCTCTCTATATCTATCTATATCTATGTATTTATCTATATCATCTGTCATCTATATCTAGCTATTATCTTTCTTATATCTATCTATCTATATATCTCTATCTATCTATCTATCTATATCTCTCTATCTATCCTGTCATCTATATCTAGCTATTATCTTTTTCTATCTATCTATCTCTATCATCTGTCATCTATATCTAGCTATTATCATCTTTATCTAACTCTATATCTATCTCCATCTATCTATATCTCTCTATTTATATCTATATATCTATCTCTATCTCTATCATCTGTCATCTATATCTAGCTATTATCATCTTTCTATCTATCTAACTATATCTATCTATCTCTATCATCTGTCATCTATATCTAGCTATTATCATCTTTCTATCTATCTAACTATATCTATCTATCTATCATCTGTCATCTATATCTAGCTATTATCATCTTTCTATCTAACTATCTATATCTCTATCTCTGTATCTACATATCTCTATCTCTGTCATCTATATCTAGCTATTATCATCTTTCTATCTATCTAATTCTATCTATCTGTCTGTCTGTCTGTCTAATTAAAAAGAAACATGTTGAGGCTTTTATAATAAATCCCCGATCCATATACAGATATAATCCTTGAATGACCCCACTGATCCTTTTTTCCCAGCTTATACAGGTAGCCCTCGACTTAACAAGGATGGGAGGGAGTGAGGAAAGAAAGGGGAGTGAGGGAGGGAGGTGCAGTGGCTGGAAACTCGTCAGAGGGAGATCCAGCCTAGAACTGAGGAGAAATTTCCTGACAGTAAGAACAATTAACCAGTGAAACTGCTTGCCACCAGAAGTACTGGAGGTTTTTAAGAAGAGACTGGACAGCCACTTGTCTGGAATGGTATAGGGTCTCCCGTTTGAGCAGGGGGTTGGACTGGAAGACCTCCGAGGTCCCTCCCACCACTGTGATTCTGTTAATCTAATTGTAGTTTCTACCCAGTTGTAAAAAAGCTGGCATTGCAAAATTCTCCAGAGCGCCCCCCCCCCCAGGACTGCTGTTTGTGCACAGCTGTTTCTCTCTTTCCTCTTCTTCCTCCTCCTCCTCAATTCTTCCTGATTCCCCCTCCCCCTGCATTTTTTTTTTAAACTGCTCCATCCCACCTCCTTCAGACCAGTTCCCAGGACCCTGGGGTTGTCGTTTCCTGCACAATCGCACCTTCCCTTTTGTGCTGAAGCGGTTGTGATGCAAAATCCAGATTTTGCTTGGCGGGGAATTTTTCCTCCCAGCAACCGACCGTGAGACGGATGTGGAATAAAAGTTGGGACCCCCAAACAGAAGCCCTGTTTGTCTCCCACACGTGCCCCTTTGGGTGGGTGGGTGGGGGGAAAGAATGCACATCCACATTGATGGAGAGGGAGGAGGCTGGGGAGGAAGGTGCCAGCTGCTGCTCTGTCTCATGCCAGACCCGGCATTGTGACATGCAGACACACATGCACAACAAGCAAAGTGGGAGGCAAGCCATGGGGTCCTGGGAAATAGGGAGCAGGCTTCCTCTCCATACGGAAGCATTGGAGCGGTTTCAGATTTGAATAGAACAGAGCTGGAAGGGACCTGGGAGGTCTTCTAGCCCAGCCCCCTACTCAGGCAGGAGACCCTATACCAGGGGTCTTCAAACTTGGCCCTTTTATGACTTGTGGACTTCAACTCCCAGAATTCCTCAGACAGCTTTGGGGCCATGGTTCCCCCACGCTGGCTGAGGAATTCTGGGAGTTGAAGTCCGCGAGTCACGAAGGGGCCATAGTTTCCCTCATGTTGGCTGAGGACTTCTGGGAGTTGAAGTCTGCGAGTCACGAAGGGGCCATAGTTTCCCTCATGCTGGCTGAGGAATTCTGGGACTTGAAGTCCGCAAGTCATGAAGGGGCCATAGTTTCCCTCATGCTGGCTCAGGAATTCTGGGAGTTGAAGTCTGCAAGTCATGAAGGGGCCATAGTTCCCCCATGCTGGCTCAGGAATTCTGGGAGTTGAAGTCCATGAGTCATGAGGGGGCCATAGTTCCCCCATGCTGGCTGAAGAATTCTGGGAGTTGAAGTCCACAAGTCACGAAGGAGCCATAGTTTCCCCCATGCTGGCCGAGGAATTCTAGGAATTGAAGTCCACCAGTCATGAAGGGGCCATAGTTTCCCTCATGCTGGCTGAGGAATTCTGGGAGTTGAAGTCCACCAGTCATAAAGGGGCCCTGTTTGAAGACCCCTGCCCTATACCATCTCGGACAAGTGACTGTCGTTACTTATTTTAGTTATATTACTGGTTTCTTATTTGAATCCTGCCTTCATTACTTTCGCCAGAAAACGCAAGCTGTCAAACATATATGACACACTTCATGTGTGTGCGTGTGTGAGTGAGTGACTTTGAGCCAGTCCCCCCACCCATCACTCAGACAGCAGGACCGGAACTCGGAATCCCAAAGTCACCCAGGCATCTTTCATGCTTAAGACGAGACTAGAATAAACCTTATTTGCAGTGGCATTGCAACTCTTTTCCTTCACTGATGTTGTATAGCAGCTTACCCCTACTGGATTTCCCAGAATCCTCCGGCTTTGCATGCCAGGGGCTTCTGGGAGTCGAAGTCCAGCACTTTGGGGGAGGACAAGGCAAGGGAAAGCTGGTGAGAAAACCTGGGGGGGTTTCACCATGGAAGATGGGGGTCCTCTGCAATAGGGGTGGCCAACTTAGCAACTTGAAGACCTGTGGGCTTATGCTTGCTGGGGAATTCTGGGAGTTGAAGTCCACAAGTCATCTGTAGGGGATACACCAACAAGGCTGAGCAGCTGTGTAATAATGGAACTTCCTCCAGAAGAGTTCTAGAACCTCTAGGATGGTCTAGAGATGGTCATATAATTAGTCTGCCTTGTGCTTTGGCTTCTGGGGGCTAAAGCATACAAGGAACGGCTGCTGGAATTGGGTATGTCTAGTTTAGCGAAGAGAAGGACGAGGGGGACAGGATAGCAGCGTTCCAGTATCTCAGGGGCTGTCCCAAAGAAGAGGGAGTCAAGCTATTCTCCAAAGCCCCTGAAGGCAGGACAAGAAGCAACGGATGGAAACTTTTATCAAAGAGAGAAGTAACCTAGAAATAGGGAGAAACTTCCTGACAGTGAGAACAAATAACCAGTGGAACAGCTTGCCACCAGAGGTTGTGGGTGCTCCATCACTGGAGGTTTTCAAGAAGAGACTGGACAGCCATTTGTGTGAAATGGTAGAGCAGGGGGCTGGACTAGAAGACCTCCAAGGTCCCTTCCAACTCTGCTGTTCTGTTCTATTCTATTATATTCTATATCCTTTTTCTCAATAAATATTCTGTTCTGTTCTTTTCTGTTTTCTATTCTATTCTATATCTTTTTTTCTTTTCTCTTCCCTTCCATTCCATTCCATAGTTTCTTTTCTATTCTGTTCTGTTCTTTCTCTTATTCTATTCCATTCCATTCCATTCTATTCTATTCTACTCCATTTCATTCCATATATTCTATTCTGTTCTGTTCTATTCCTTTATTCTATTTATTCTATTCCCCCTTCTCTCCTCTTTTCCTCTCCCCTCACCCCCTTCCCTTCTCTGTCTCTACGGGCAACGTCTACCTCCTCCAGATGCTCTAGGTGAGGACCTGGCCTTCCTTGAGGGGCACATCCTCTTTCAGACCCAGCTCCGTGGTCTTGTTCAGTGGCTGCCCATCCTGACGTGGCTCTTCCTTTGCAGAAGCTGAGCTGTGGCATGCAGGCTGATGAAGGCACCGACTGGTTACTCGAACTCCTGACCGAAGTCCAGCTTCAACAGTACTTCCTCCGCATCCGCGATGACCTCAACGTCACTCGCCTGTCGCACTTCGAGTATGTCAAGAATGAGGACCTGGAGAAAATCGGAATGGGGCGACCGGGTGAGTGGGTCCTTCGGCCCGAACCCACCTCTCCGGACCTGGCAGTTTTGCAAAACTTAGGTGGAAAATTCACAAGAGTTTTGTAAATGCGCAACTGTAATTTCGGAGGCCGGAATTTCTTTTGCTAAGCGAGACGGACGTTAAGTGAATTTTGCCTCACTTTACGACCGTTGTTAAGTGAATCGCTGGGGTTGTTCAGTTAGCAACACGGTTGTGAAGTGAATCGGGCTTCCCCGTTGACTTGGCTTGTCGGAAGGTCGCAAAAGGGGACGACATGATCCTGGGACCTTGCGACCGTCGTCGTAAATACGAGTCAGTTGCAAAGCTTCTGAATTTTGATCACGTGACCCTTGGGGATGACTCAACGGTCGTAAGTGTGAAAAACGGTCATGAGTCACTGTTTTCAGCGCCGTTGTAACTTCAAACGGTTGCTAAATGAATCGTCGTAAAATGAGGACTATTTTGTCATGCAAAAGACCACAGTGGAGCCCCCGAATTCCGCTGCTAAGCAGAACAGCTAAATGAGTTGTGCCCCGTTTTACAACTGCTAAGTAAATGGTTGCAGTCGTTAAATGAAGCGTTTGGTCGTTAAGCGGATCTGGCTTCCTCCATTGAATTTGTTTCTCGGAAGCTGGCTGGGAAAGGTCACCAAAGGGGTATCCCGTGACCCCAGGACGTCATAAGTACGTGCCAGTTGCTAAGCACTTGAATTTGATCGGGTGATCATGTGGATGCTGCAACGGTCGTAAGTGTGAAAAACGGTCCTAACTCGCTTTTTTCAAGTACCATTGTAAATTTGGTCACTAAAGCGAACGGTTGTACATTGAGGACGACTTGTAAGCAGAGTTTGAGAACTTCTAATTCCGTATTTCGGAACTGGCTGGATTAGTTTTTAAGAAGAGACTGGACAGCCATTTGTCCGAAAGGGTATCGGGCAGTGATGGCGAACCTTTTAGAGATTGAGTGCCCAAACCGCAACCCAAAACCCACTTATTTATCACAAAGTGCCAGAGCCGCATTAGCATTGTGGGGAGGGGGGGGGCGGCAGGGAGGTGCCTCCGAGTGCCCCCTCTGGCACGCAAAAAACGGGGACGCAAAAATGGGCCACCTTGCCGCAAGGCGCAAAAATGGCCGCCGCCACGCCACAGGGTGCAGATACAAGGTGCTGCACCACGCAAGAATGGGGCAGGGCTAGTGAGTATCACGCAGGCGCTAGTCCCGCACCATTTGCAGCACATGCCTGCTCGCGGCCCTGGGTGCGCATGCACGCAGGTAAAATGCTTCCCCCTCCCTTTTCTTCCAGTCCACCAATCGACAGTGGTTGGTGACCTCTGCTTTACCACCTCTACTCAAGCTTGCTAGTCGGCCACTTCGCCTCCTTTGTGCTGGGCGGGGCTCCTCCGGGCGGTGTTGGCCTGATGGACCTGCTGCTGGCGGCAGTGGGTTGTGAGCGTTTCTGTTGAGGATTGGCAGCAGAGGTGGGGTGGGGGGTGTTTGATTTTTATTCCTCCCACCCCATCTGCTGGGTGGTTGCAGCAGGTTTTGGTCCCTTCCCATGACCCTGGGACACTGTGACCGTCATAAATAGGAATCAATTGCCAAGCGTCTGAATGTAAATCATAAGACCCTGGAGAGGCTGCAACATTCCAGCTGATCGGCGCTTCTTCTGCACTCAGCAGAAGCACCAGGATCAGGGCTGAGCTCCAGCTGATTGGTGCTTTGGGGCTCAGCGGAAGCACCAGGATCAGCGCTGCTTTCCAGCTGGAGCCTGGCGCTGATCCTGGCGCTTCCGCTGAGCCCTGACAGCCCTGCAGCTCCAGCCGTCTCTCGCTCAGGCTTGTGCGGTGCTACCACCGGTTCAGCTCATTCCCCTCCCCTGCTACCCCTTTTCTAGGATGGTCACGTACCCCCTGCCAGGTGCCAGTGGACCACAGGTGGGACCCGTACCACTGGTTGAAAAGCCTTATTCTATTTATTCTATTCTATTCTATTCTATTCTATTCTTTCTATTCTATTCTATTTGTAATTCTATTCTAATTCTATTTGTAATTCTATTTGTAATTCTATTCTAATTCTATTTGTAATTCTGTTCTATTCTATATTTTATTCTATTCTATATTCTATTCTATTCTATATTCTATTTGAAATTCTATTCTATTCTATTTTCTATTGTATTTCTATTCTATTCTTCAAGAATAGATGACCTCCAAGGTCCCTTACAACAACAACAACAACAACATCATCATCATCATTATTATTTAGAAGAGTAATCACAGCGCCAGCCTTCTGCAATGTTGGTGGAATTCCCTATCCGAAAAAAATCTTCCAACGTGGAGCAAATGCTTAGAATGAAACATCTGGAGAGGACTTGATTTTTTTTTTTTCTCCTGGTTTTGTGACCCCCTTGTTGCTTGTCTCTGTAGGGCAGAGACGCCTCTGGGAGGCCGTGAAGAGGAGGAAGGCTGTGTGCAAACGGAAATCCTGGATGAGCAAGGTGAGAGAGCGGCTCTCCTGAGGACTAGAAAGCTGCAGAATCTTTAAAAAGAAAAGTAGAAAGGTTGATAGAACCGTCTTGATGATCGGGTCTTTGGGCAGGATGCAGGAGTCACAATAATGTAGGAGAAAGGAACCAGGGGCCTTGACTGTCTTTGAAAAAGGATAATCGGATCAGATCGTGATTTGGTTAGTACCGGGATGGCTCACCACCAGGAAATCCCAGGACCGCTAAGTAAAGTTGGGAAAGTTGAAATTTACACTCTTAACAAAAGACAATGGCAAACAACATTGGTTGCCAAGAAAAGAGAATCAGTTAGTAAAAATAACTTTCTAGAGAAAAGTACCAGAGTTACACCTATGGTGTTATTACACTACTACGTGAGTACATAAGGGTGTGAGGTTGTGTACACGTGTGCATCTACATTAAATCTGATACCGCTCAGTGATAGATAAGGCACAACAGGAGGTTAGGGTAAGCACATTGGAAGAAATGTAGGAAAAGAAAAATTAAACGGAGAAAATCAAAACATTGAGAAAATAGGGCCAAAACCCTATTTTAGTGAACCTTGAAGCCAGGAGAGGTGAGTTCTACTCCTGCCTTAGGCACAAAAGCGAACTGGGTGTTTTTGGGCCAATCACCAGGAGACTCTGAGTTTGAGTCCCACCTTAGCCATGAAAGCTGGCTTGGTGACTTTGGCCCAATCGCCAGGAGACTGAGTTCAAGTCTTGCCTTAGCCATGAAAGCTGTGAGGGTGACTTTGGGCCAATCACCAGGAGACTCTTGAGTTCGAGTCCTACGTTAGCTATGAAAGCTGGCTGGGTAACTGGGCCAATCCGCAGGAGACTCTGAGTTCAAGTCTTGCCTTAGCCATAAAAACTGGCTGGGTAACTTTGGGCCAATCCCCAGGAGACTCTGAGTTCGAGTCCTACCTTAGCTGTGAAAGCTGGCTTGGGTAACTTTGGGCCAATCTCCCACAGGCTCCGAGTTCGAGTCCCACCTTAGCCATGAAAGCCAGCTGGGTGACTTGGGGCCAGTCGCCCTTTCTTAACTGAACCCACCTCACAGGGATGTTGTAGCGGGGAAAAGCAGGAGGGGGGGAGAGTGAGTTACACGTAATGTAAGGTGGGATAAAAATACGTGGTTCTCGTCCGTAACTCTGGTCCTGGGCTTGGGCCCCTCGGGGTCCCCCACAGGTGTTCACCGGGAAGCGGCTGGACTCAGAGGTGCCCCCGCTGCCCGCGGGTCTCGTGCCCAAGCAGCCCAGCCCATTGGCCCTGGAGGAGGCCCAGCAGCAGGCCTTGACCTGCCTGATCAGCGAGAAGGACCTGGTGCTGCTGGAGAAGCTGGGAGACGGCTCTTTCGGGGTGGTGCGGCGCGGGGAGTGGTGCGCCCCGTCGGGCAAGGTGGTAAGCAAGGATGGGGGGAGGCCTGGGTGCTTGCAGCCACTATCTGGACTTTATTGCAGAGAAGACTCACTCTTGGAAATTAAGGTCAGTCCAGGAATGGGTTACACATATATACAGCATATACGCGTGGGACACACACGCATATATACACACAAATATATAACTACATACACACACATACGTATACACACACCAGTAAATGAACATGCATATATGCACGTTAATTTACTGGTGTGTGTATACACTGTGTGTGTGTGTGTGGATATATACATACACATCTGTAAATTTTTTAGATTGTGCCGACAAAGAATTAAAGGGAGACTAGTATAGCTATTTTGAGCTATTTAGCTCTCATCAGCTAGCCATACCCTTGCTGAGATTCGAACCCGGGCCGCTTGCATGTATTAACCTCTAGGCCACAGGTTCTCCTCACTTCTGTCAGCTGTATATGTGTACACACACACACACACACACACAGAGTAAAAACAAATACCAGTAAAAGAGTGTGTGTGTGTGTGTGTGTGTGTGTTTTATAATTGTAAGTCGCCCAAAGTTACTCTGTAGTAAGATGGGCAGCCAATAAATGTTTTAAATAAATAATAAATACTTATTCCTGGGAATAAGATCAGTCCAGGAATGGTGTGTGTGTGTGTGTGTGTGTGTGTGTGTGTGAGAGAGAGAGAGGGAGAGATACGCACAAATATATAAATACACATACACACACATACACATATTAATTTACTGGTATTTGCACTCTTTGTGTATACATGTGTGTGTGTGTGTGTGTGTGGATATATACATACACATCTGTAAATTTTTTAGATTGTGCCAACAAAGAGTTAAAGGGAGACTAGTATAGCTATTTTGAGCTATTTAGCTCTCATCAGCTAGCCATACCCTTGCTGAGATTCGAACCCGGGCGGCTTGCATGTATTAACCTCTAGGCCACAGGTTCTCCTCACTTCTGTCAGCTGTATATGTGTATGTGTACACACACACACACACACACACACACACACACACACACACAGTAAAAACAAATACCAGTAAAAGTGTGTGTGTGTGTGTGTGTGTGTTATCTTTTATAATTGTAAGCTGCCCAAAGTTACTCTGTACTAAGATGGGCAGCCAATAAATGTTTTAAATAAATAATAAATACTTATTCCTGGAAATAAGATCAGTCCAGGAATGGGTTGTGTGTGTGTGTGTGTGTGTGTGTGTGTGAGAGAGAGAGAGAGAGAGGGAGAGGGAGAGGGAGAGAGACAGACAGACAGACAGACACAGACAGAAATGTATAAATACACATACACACATTAATTTACTGGTATTTACACTTTGTGTATACATTTTTTTTTTAAAAAAAAAACTTATGTAAATTATGCACATACTCCCCCTTCTCATTTAACCCTTTGCTCTGATGATGTTAACAGGTTGTTAACGAAAGCTCAGCAATTAATAAAAAAAAGCCTTCTATCTTACATCCCAGAGCTCTTTATTTTTATCTGATTGACTCTAAATACACATGTATGTATACGTGTATATGTACACACACAAATATATAAATACACACACAAATATACACACATTAATTTACTGGTATTTACATTGTATACATATATGTATGTGCACGTATATACATACATATATATGTCTTTTAAAATATTAAACATGCGAATCCTGAGCATTATGCTAACAAATAAAAGAAAAAATGAACACCAGGATATAATAAACCAGCCTGTTTAATATAAACAAGCCTGTGGTTAAGGAGAGTCACTAAGCTTTCGTCTGGCCAAAAAACTGCCGGCCTCGTCACAGTTAGAATAGCAGGAGATTGGGAACACAATCGGGCAAACTGTTTTTGACTCCACTGGTTGTTTTACGATCCTCGAGTGTTCTTTTCGAGTGTGTGCAAGCACTTGGCGGGCGGCTGTCAACCCATCCCTGCACCCATTATCCTCCCCCACCCCCAAGGCCGTATATGGATATATACACATACAAATATATAAATACGCATACACATTAATTTACTGGCATTTACACTCATTCTCTATACCAGCGGTTCTCAACCTGTGGGTCGGGACCCCATTTGGGGTCGAACGACCATTTCACGGGGGTCGCCAAACAACGCAGTCCGCCATTTTTTTTCTTAGCTGTGCTACTCCCTTTTATTCTATTGGCTTTTGAAAGCCAATCGAAGAGACTCTCTTGAATAGAGCCTAATTCTATTGGCTTTCAAAAGCCAATAGGAATTGTCCAGGCTGTCTCTGCCCTGCTGTGCCCATTCTGCAAATGGTGCTGCACCAGTTGAGTAGTCCTCGACTTACGACCGGTTGAGTAGCCTACGACCGGTTGGGGGTCGCGGCATTAAAAAGGTTGAGAACCACTGGTCTATACATATGCGTGTGTGTGTGTGGATATATACATACACATGTATGTTAAATTTGGATTGCTAACATACACATATACATACAAATATATAAATACACATGTACACACACGCACACACATATACTAAAAACGTAAATAAATACCAGTAAAAGTTTGTGTCTCTGTGTGTGTGTGTGTGTGTGTGTGTGTGTTTTATAATTGTAAGCCGCCCAGAGTTATTCTGTAGTAAGATGGGCAGCCAAAACATTTTATAAATAAACAATAAATAAACAGAAGGAAGTCTATAGGAAAAGGGAGCAGTGGTCTGAATGAAAATAATAATATTGCAAGTAGTTCCCGAGTTATGACCCAAACGGAGCTCCAGATTTCTGTCACTAAGTGAGACAGTTGTTAAGTGAGTTCCCCCCATTTTACAGACTTTCTTGTCACAGTTGCTAAGTGAATCCTTGGCAGTTTTGAAAGTAGTAACCCAGTCATTAAGGGAATCTGGCTTCCTCGTTGACTCTGTTTGTCAGAAGATCACAAAAAAGGATCACATAATCCCAGGACGTGGCCGCCATCATAAATAAAGCCTCAGTGTGAAACAGGAGTGGGCAACTATGCCCCTTTTATGACCTGTGGACTGCAACTCCCAGAATTCCGGAGCCAGCCTTGCTGGCTCAGGAATTCTGGGAGTTGAAGTCAACAGGCCGTAAAAGGGCCGTAGTTGCCCACACTGACATAAAATCTACTCCGGTTAATCTTGAAAAGGCCTGGAATGAATTCTAGATCCTGTGCGAGATTGACCACCCTTTTTCCTCTTTACCTTCGTCCCTCTGCAGCTGAACGTGGCGGTCAAGTGTCTCAAGACGGATGTCCTGAACCAGCCGGAAGCCCTGGACGACTTCATCCGGGAGGTCAACGCCATGCATTCCCTGGACCACGTCAACCTCATCCGCCTCTACGGGGTGGTGCTCTCCAATCCCATGAAGATGGTGAGGAGGGCCGGGCAGGGCTCCGGAAAAGTGGGGAAGGCGCCCTCCTGTGAGCGTTCTCCCCCCTTGTAAGGAAGGGGGCAGGGGTGAACATGTCAGAAATGGTGTAGAGAATCCTGCTTGGGCAAGGGGTTGGACTAGATGACCCACAAAGTCCCTTCCAACTCTTGTTCTATTCTATTCTATTCTATCCTATTCCAGTATTTTCTACTATTCTATTCTATTCTATTCTATTCTATTCTATTCTATTCTATTCCAGTAATCTTCTATATTCTATTCTATTCTATTTCAGTAATTTTCTATATTCTATTCTATTCTATTCTATTCTATTCTATTCTATTCTATTCTATTCCAGTAATCTTCTATATTCTATTCTATTCTATTCCAGTAATTTTCTATATTCTATTCTATTCTATTCTATTCCAGTAATTTTCTATATTCTTTTTATTCTATTCTAGTCTAATCTAGTCTGTTCCAGTAATTTTCTACTATTCTATTCTATTCTATTCTATTCTATTCTATTCCAGTAATTCTCTATATCCTATCCTATCCTATCCTATTCTATTCCAGTAATTTTCTATATTCTATTTCTATTTCTATTCTATTCTATTCTATTCATGTAATATAATTTTCTATATTCTATTCTATTCTATTCTATTCATGACCATCTCTAGCTGCCTTTGCAGGGACATCAGCAGGCAGGATAATGAGGGAGGTAGTCCTCAAGTTACGGTCACAATTAAGCTCAAAATTTATGTTGACAAGTGAAACAATTTTTTAAAAAATATTTAATTGGTTTTTAATAATAGCAATCTCCAGTGCCTGGTATACAGCATGTTGTCTTGGTTTATATATTTGAGGGGGGGGAGGCCATAATTAATTAACAGTCAATAATGATTAAATTTGATAATTCCATAATTAGTATATTAATTAGTATCTTAATTAATTAAACTGGAGGTTTTGAAGAGATTGGACAGCCATTTGTCCGAAATGGTATAGGGTTTCCTGCCTGAGCAGGGGGTTGGACTAGATGACCACCAAGGTCCCTTCCAACTTTATTATTATTATCATCATCATCATTATCAAATCCAGTATCGATTGGGACATGCTGTGTGAATGTATTCATTTTTAATTGTTATACGTGTTGTTTTAATTTTGTACGCCGCCCTGAGTCTCTAGGGATTGGGCGGCAAATAAATAAATAAATAAATAAATAAATAATAAATATTACACCTTCTAATACATCCTCTCTTTTTCTAGTAATAAACATTTTCCCACAATAAGCAAATACAATTCTTCTTCTTCTTCTTCTGGGCCGTGTCCCCCCTTTTCCGCTCAGGTGACCGAACTGGCCCCACTGGGCTCGCTGCTGGACCGCCTTCGCAAGAACCAGGGGCACTTCCTGATCGCCACCCTCTGCCAGTACGCCATCCAGATCGCCCGCGGGATGGCCTACCTGGAGTCCAAGCGCTTCATCCACCGAGATCTGGCCGCCCGGAACATCCTGCTGGCTGCGAATGACCTGGTCAAGATCGGCGACTTCGGGCTGATGCGGGCCTTGCCCAAGAACAACGACCATTACATCATGCAGGAGCACCGCAAGGTCCCCTTCGCGTGGTGAGGGTCTCTTTCCCTCCCTCCTTGCAGAAGACCCTGGGCTGCGTTCCCACGGCGTGCTGAAACGGGGTTATGGTGGGGTCCTGGGGTGCTCTCCGAGCTTGCTTGTTTTCTTGCGGACGTTTCGTGACCCAGCTAGGTAGCATCATCAGTGCTGGAAGGGAGGAGGGTTTTGTGGAATGGAGGAGGAGGAGGAAGGAAAGGGTTATGAGGTCCTGGGTGCTGTCTGAGTGTGGCGGTTTTCTTGCAGACGTCTCGTCACCCAGCTAGGTAGCGTGATCAGTGCTGGAAGGGAGTGGGGTTTGCAGAGAGGAGGAGGAAAAGAAAAAGAAGAAGACTAGGACGGTGGGGTCCTTGGTGCTCTCTCTGAGCTTGATCCTTTTTTAGCATACGTTTCATGACCCAACTAGGGAACGTCATCAGTGCTAGAAGGGAGGGGGGGGGCTTGCAGAGAGGACGACGATTGTGGGTGTTCTTTGAACTAGGTGGTTTTCTTGCAGACGTTTCATTACCCAACTACGCAACGTTATCAGTCCTAGTCTGATGATGTTACACTAGTTTCTAGTGTGGCATTGCATGATGTTATCTAGTTTGATAATGAAACATCCACAAGGAAACTACCAAACTCAGAGATCACCACCACCACCTCCTCTTCCTCTCCACAAATCCCTCTTCTTTCTAGCACTGATAATGTTACATGGAATGGAATGGAATAGAATAGAATAGAATAGAATAGAATAGAATAGAATAGAATAGAATAGAATAGAATAGAATAGAATAGAATAGAATAGAATAGAAAATATGGAATGGAATGGAAAATAGAATAGAATAGAATAGAGAAAAGGAATGGAATGGAATGGAATGGAATATAGAAGAGAAGAGAATAAGAAGAGTAGAGTAGAATAGAGTAGCGTAGCATAGAGTAGAGCAGAGCAGAAGGACAATAGAATAGAATAGAATAGAATAGAATAGAATAGAATAGAATAGAATAGAATAGAATAGAATAGAATAGAATAGAATAGAATAGAATAGAATAGAGCTGGAAGGGACCTTGGAGGTTGTCTAGTCCAGCCCCCTGCTCAAGCAGGAGAACCTATACCATCTCAGATAAATGGCTATCCGGTCTCTTCTTTAAAAACTCCAGTGATGGAGCACCCACGATTTCTGGTGGCAAGCTGTTCCACTGGTTAATTGTCCTCACTGTCAGGAAGTTTCTCCTTAATTCCAGGTTGCTTCTAGTTTGGTAATGAAATATCTGCAAGAAAATCATCAAGCTCAGAGAGCACTAGCATCCCATAATCCTCCTCCTCCTCCTCCTCCTCCTCCTCCTCCTCCTCCTCCTCCTCCACAAACAACCAAGCTCAAAGAGCAGAAAGGACCCCACAGTTAAATATTAGCTAAGCTAAAATATTAACTTCTGTCGGAACCTTTTACCTTAATTAACCCACTCTCGGTTCACAAATGCGCTTGGAGTAGCAGCATCTGCAGGGAGAATCAGGGCTGAGAGAGGGACTAGCCCAGTGGTTCTCAACCTTTCTAATGCCGCGACCCCATAATACAGTTCCCCATGTTGTGGTGACCCCCAACCACTTATACATCACCGGGTGCCAGGGGCGTGGCCAAAGAAAAGGGGGAAAAAATGGCGGACAGCCTTGTTTGGCGACCCCCGTGAAATGGTCGTTCGACCCCAAATGGGGTCCCGACCCACAGGTTGAGAACCACTGGACTAGCCCAAGGTCACCCAGCTGGATTTCATGTCTAAGGCAAGACTAGAACTCCCTGTCTCCTGGTGATTGGCTCAAAGACTCCCAGCTGTTTTTTGTGGCTAAAGTGGAACTAGAACTCACGGTCTCCTGGTGATTGGCCCAAGGTCACCCAGCTGGCTTTCATAGCTAAGGCAGGACTAGAACTCCCAGTCTCCTGGTGATTGGGCCAAAGTCACCCAGCCCTCTTTCATGCCTAAGGTCAGGCTAGAACTCCCTGTCTCCTGGTGATTGGCCCAAAGTCACCCAATTGGCTTTCATGCCTAAAGCGAGACTAGAATTCACCGTCTCCTGGCGATTGGCCCAAAGTCACCCAGCTGGCTTTCACGCCTAAGGTCGGGCTAGAACTCCCAGTCTCCTAGCGATTGGCCCAAAGTCACCCAGCCGGCTTTAATACCTAAAGCGAGACTAGAATTCACCGTCTCCTGGCGATTGGCACAAAGTCACCCAGCCAGCTTTTTTACCTATGGTGGAACTAGAACTCCCAGTCTTTTGGCTTCTAGCCTGGTGCTTAACCACTAGATTCTAAGCGTGCATCCCTTGCTCCTCAACTAACCAGGTTAAGGATTCAAGACGGACTGCGCAATCACAGCTTGATGGGAATCAGAATGACTCCTTTCTTTTTCGACTCTAGGAGTAGATTTGTGCGGGGGGGGGGGGGAGATCGGTGGGTCTCAAAGAAGCCATGTCCTCTCAAGAGCGTGACCAGATCTCTGTCTGCTTTCTCTCCCCCACCTGGGCTGCCTCCCCTCCTCATCATGGATCCAGGTGTGCCCCGGAGAGTCTGAAGACCCGCACTTTTTCCCACGCCAGCGACACCTGGATGTTTGGCGTCACGCTCTGGGAGATGTTTACTTACGGACAGGAGCCGTGGGTTGGCCTGAACGGCAGCCAGGTAGGACAGGAGAAAAAATATCAGGGAATCTGGAGGGAGTCCATGACTTGGGACCCCCACGAACCCCCCAAAGTTTCCGCTGCTGCTAAGTGGGGTCCTTGGTGTGAGTTTGGCCCCGTTGTGTAATCTTCCTTGCCGCCGTTGTTAGTAAGTAAGCAGGACAAGAAGCAACGGGTGGAAACTGATCAAGGAGAGAAGCAACCTGGAACTAAGGAGAAACTTCCTAACAGTGAGGACAATTAACCAGGGGAACTCTTTGCCACCAGAAGTTGTGGGATGCTCAGACTGGACAGCCATTTGTCCGAAATGGTATAGGCTTTCCTGCCTGAATGGGGGGTTGGACTAGATGACCTCCAAGGTCCCTTCCAACATCATTATTATTATTATTATTATTATTATTATTATTATTATTATTATTATTATTACTACTACTACTACTACTATTATTATTATTATTATTATATTAAATAAGACAGTCATTAAGTGAATCTGTTGACTTTGTCAGATTACTGTCGTTAAGTGAGACGTTTGCAAAGCGAGTTTTTGCCCCATTTCGTGACCTTCCTTGGCACGCTTGTTAAATGAATCCGTGCAGTTGTTAAGTTAGCAAGATAGTTGTTAAGTGGCTTCCCCATTGACTTCGCTTGTCGGAAGGTCGCAAAACGGGATCACGTCACACACGAACACTGGGACCGTTATAAACTGGAGCCAGTTGCCAAGCATCTGGATTTTGGTCACGTGATCACAAGGACGCTGCAAACGGTGATAAGTCGCTTTGATTCGTGCCATTGTAACTTTGAGCAGTCACTAAACCGTTGTAAGTCGAGGACTTCTATTGTCTTTTTAATAATAATAATAACTATAATAATAAAGTTGGAAGGGACCTTGGAGGTCATCTAGTCCAACCCCCTGCTCAGGCAGGAAACCCTGCACCATTTCAGACAAATCGCTCTCCAGGACTTCCCGTAACACTCACAGGCGGGATCTGGCAGTTTTCCAAATAAAATCTCCTGGCTGGTTTGCCTTAAATCCCGCTTTTCTCCTGGCAGATTCTGCACAAGATCGATAAGGAAGGCGAACAACTGGGCCGGCCGGAGGATTGTCCCCAGGATATTTACAACGTCATGTTGCAGTGCTGGGCCCACAAACCGGAAGACCGTCCCACCTTCGTGGCTCTGCGGGATTTCCTCTTGGAGGTAACAAGCAAGCCCTGGTCTCGGTCATCCACACCTTGGCCATCTCCCGTCTTGACTACCGCAATGCGATCTCCTTCAGTGCTTGAACTCAGGTAGTCCTTGACTTGCAACCACAATTGAGCCGCTGGGGACACTGCGACCATCGTAAATACGAGTCAGTTGCCCAGCGTCCAAATTTTGACCACGTGAGCACGGGGATGCTGCGACGGTCGTTAAGTGTGGAAAAACGGTCGTAAGTCGCTTATTTCAGTGCTGTTGTAACTTTGCACAGTCACTAAATCGGGGTAGGCAACCTTGGCTCTTTTATGCCTCGTAGACTTTAACTCCCAGAATTCCTGAGCCAGCCACACTGAGGGGAAAGGGAGAGGTTTCCAAGCTGAGCCAGGCTGGCTCAGGAATTCTGGGAGTTGAAGTCCACGAGTCATGAAGGGGCCATAGATCCCCCATGCTGCCTGAGGAATTCTGGGAGTTGAAGTCCAGAAGTCATCAAGGGGGTCATAATTCCCCCACGCTGGCTGAGGAATTCTGGGAATTGAAGTCCACCCATCTTCGAATGGCCAAGATTGAGAAATACAGGCCTAGGACTGAGGTAGGCAAACGTGGCTCTTTTATGACTCGTGGACTTCAGCTCCCAGAATTCCTCAGCCAGCATGGGGAAACTATGGCCCCTTCATGACTGGTGGACTACAACTCCCAGAATTCCTCAGCCAGCATGGGGGAGCTATGGCCCCTTCATGACTCATGGACTTCAACTCCCAGAATTCCTGAGCCAGCATGGCTCAGCTTGCAAACCTCTCCCTTTCCCCTCAGCATGGCTGGCTCAGGAATTCTGGGAGTTGAAGTCCACCAGTCATAAAAGAGCCAAGGTGGCCTACCTCTGCACTAAATGAACTGTTGTTAATTGAGGACTCACAGATGTCCCCTATAAACCCTTCACCTTCCTTTTCTCAGGCTCAACCCACGGACATGCGGGCCTTGCAGGATTTTGAAGAACCCGACAAACTTCTAATCCAGATGAACGATATAATCACGGTCATCGAGGGCAGGTATTCTTTACCTTATATATCATTTTATTTTATTTTTTTTGTTGTTAATTGCCAAGTCGTGTCCGACCCATCGCAACCCCATGGACAACGTTCCTCCAGGTCTTCCTGTCCTCTATCATCTTCTGGAGTCCATTGAAGTTCACGCCTCCTGCTTCAGGGACTCCATCCAGCCACCTTGTTCTCTGTCGTCCCCTTCTTCTCTTGCCCTCCATCTTTCCCAGCATCAGGCTCTTCTCCAGGGAGTCCTTCCTTCTCATTAGGGGGCCAAAGTATTTGAGTTTCAACTTCAGGATCTGGCCTTCTAAAGAGCAGTCGGGGTTGATCTCTTCTAGGACTGACTGCTTTGATCGCCTTGCAGTCCAGGGGACTTGCAGGCGTCTTCTTCAGCACCATAGTTCAAAGGCCTCCATTCTTTGGCCTTTCTCAGCCTTTCTTATGGTCCAACTTTCACAGCCATACATTGCAACTGGGAAAACCATGGCCTGGACTATACGCACTTTTGTTGGCAGGGTGACGTCTCTGCTTTTTAGGATGCTGTCTAGATCTGCCATAGCTTTCCTCCCCAGGAGCAAGCGTCTTTTAATTTCTTGGCTGCGGTACCCACCTGAGGTGATCTTGGAGCCCAGAAAAATAAAATCTGTCACTACCTCCATTTCTTCCCCATCTATTTGCCAGGAATTGAGAGGGCTGGATGCCATGATTTTGGTTTTCTTAATGTTGAGTTTCAAGCCAACTTTTGCACTCTCCTTCTTCACCCGCATCAAGAGGCTCTTTAGTTCCTCTTCATTTTCTGCCATTAGAGTGGTATCATCTGCATATCTTAGGTTGTTGATATTTCTCCCGGCAATCTTAATTCCAACTTTATCATTTTATTTTAGTTTTTTTTAAAATCCTGCCTTCATTATTCTTCTAAATAAAACTCAAAGGCGGCAGGCGCACTGTGTCCTGCTTCCTCCTCCTCTTTTCCGAGAACAACAGCCCTGTGAGGTGGGATGGACTGAGAGAGATAGAACTGGCCTAAAGTTATCTGGCCGCTTTCCTGCCTAAGGCGGGGCTAGAACTCACTGTCTCCTGGTGATTGGCCCAAAGGCACCCAGCTGGCTTTAAATCCTAAAAGCAGGACTAGAACTCACAGTCACCTAGTGATTGGCCCAAAGTCACCTAATCAGCTTTTGTACTTAAAGTGGGACTAGAACTCACCGTCTCCTGGTGTTTGGCCCAAAGGCACCCAGTTGGCTTTCAATCCTAAAGTCGGACTAGAACTCACAATCCCCTAGTGATTGGCCCAAAGTCACCAAAACCGCTTTCATACTTAGGCGGAACTACAACTCACTTGTTCCTGGTGATTGGCCCAAAGTCACCCAGTCAGCTTTTATACCTAAAGTGGGACTAGAATTCGTCTCCAGGCGATTGGCCCAGAGTCACCCAACGGCTGGTTTTCATATCCAAGCGTGTACTAGAACTCACAATCTTCAGAAGGTCGCAAAATGGATCCTATGACCTGAGGACAGTGCAATCGTCATAAATATGAGTCAGTTGTGCCAAGCATCTGAATTTTAATCACGTGGCTTTGGGGATGCTGCAAGGGTCATAACATTTGAAGTGCCATTGTAACTTTGAACGGTCACTAAACAGACTGTTGTAAGTCGAGGACTGCCAGTACATTCAAGACAGTAAAAATGCTGTGTTCAAATAACGTTTACCCGTATCGTGGCATTCATTCACTTGCGGGTTCTAGGAGAGCAGAAAGGGCATTTAAAGCAGACCGTTTGCTTATGGCTAGGTGGCAGCAATTCACCTGCTCAGAAGCCAGAAATTAATAGAATAGAAATAGAAAGGAACAGAACAGAATAGAATATAAAATAGAATGTAGAGTAGAACAGAACAGAACAGATGTAGAATAGAATAGAATGGAATAGGAATAGGAATAGGAATAGAATAGAATAGAATAGAATAGAATAGAATAGAATAGAATAGAATAGAATAGAATAGAATAGAATAGAAAATATGAAGTGGAGTGGAATGGAATAGAGTAGAATAGAATAGAAAATAGAATAGAAAATAGAACAGAATAGATGGAATGGAGAATAGGATAGAATAAAACAGAACAAATATAGAATAGAATAGAAAATAGAACAGAACAGAAGAACAGAACAGATGGAATAGAATAGAATAGAAAAGAAAAAATATGAAGTGGAATGTAATAGAGTAGAATAGAATAGAAAATAGGATAGAATAAAACAACAAATATAGAATAGAATAGAAAATAGAACAGAACAGAAGAACAGAACAGATGGAATAGAATAGAATAGAAAAGAAAATATGAAGTGGAATGGAATAGAGTAGAATAGAATAGAATAGAATAGAATAGAAAATAGAATAGAAAATAGAATAGAAAATAGAACAGAATAGATGGAATGGTGAATAGGATAGAATAAAACAGAACAGATATAGAATAGAATAGAAAATAGAACAGATGAAATAGAATTAGAATAGAATAGAATAGAATAGAATAGAATAGAATAGAATAGAATAGAATAGCAGAGTTGGAAGGGACCTTAGAGGTCTTCTAGTCCAACCCTCTGCTCAGGCAGGAAACCCTGTGCCATTTCAGACAAATGGCTGTCTAGTCTCTTCTTAAAAACTTCCAGTGATGCAGCACCCACAACATATAGAAGCAAGTTGTTCCCCTGTTAATTGTTCTCACTATCAGGAAGTTTCTCCTTATTTCTAGGTTGCTTCCCTCCTTGATTAGTTTTCCATCCGTTGCTTCTCGTCCTGCCTTCAGGTGCTTTGGAAAATAAATGGATCCCCCCCTCTTCTTTGTGGCAACCCCCTGAGATACTGGAACACTGCTAATTCCTCAAAGCCCGGCTTAGTGAGTTGTGTGAAGGCCTCCAAGTGCCTTTGGCGAGCCCAGCTCGAGCGTGTTCTGGGATCTCAGCCAGCCTTTGAGAAAGAAGGAAACAAAGCTGACGGGAAGAAAGTTAGTTTTGGAAAAGGCTGGCTTGTAGCCTGAAGGGCTGAGTGGAAGCTCTGCCCACAGCCACGTCCCTCATGTCGTCCTCCGTGGCCTTTCCCTGCGGAATCCGAGGTGGAGATTTGACGTCGTTGTCGTGACTCACCCCCCCTTAACTCTGGAGAGATGCCAGCTGTTGGCTTCGCACACTGAAAGTCTCCCTGTGCTTCCTGGGTGGAGAGGCTCAGTTGGGTTAAGCCGCCTCAATTGGCCAGGGCTTTGAAAGTTAGACTCATAGGATTGGAAGGGACCGTGGAGATCTTCTCATCCAGGGGTTCCCAACCTCTGGGCTGTGGACCAGTACCGGTCCACAGCCCGTCGGGAACTGGGCTGCACGAGCAGCGGGTGAGTGAGCAAGGCTTTTATCTGCGCATGCGCAGGATCTAGATTGCACGTGAAACCATTCTCCCCATCCCACCCCGGTCCGTGGAAAAATGGTCTCCCACAAAACCGGTCCCCGGTCAAAGAAAGAATGGGGACCGCTGTTGTAGTCCAACGTCATGCCTTGTGCGGAAATCTTCCGAAACGTTTTGGGCAAAAAGCCTGTCCCGTCTTTCCTTGAAAACCTCCAGGGCAGGTAGTCCTCAAATTACGACTCCAATTGAGCCCAAACTTTATGTTGGTAAGACGTGACGCGTTTGTTAAGCTGGGGGGGTGGGGGTTGGTCACGCCCCCCGTTTAACTTTTCCGGCCACGGTGGTTAAGTTGCATTGGTTAATTAGGAACGGGGTCGTTCGGCAAATCCGGGTTCCCCGTTGCCTTGGCTTGTCAAAAGGGGGACCGCGTGACCCCCCCGCAGGAGATTGAAACCGTCGTAAATGTGAATCCGTTGCCAAGCGGCTGAATTTTTGATCACGAGAACCCTGGGGATGCTGCAACGGTCGTTCAGTGGGGAAAAAACAGTCCTAAGTCGCGTTTTTCGGTGCCGTCGTAACTTTGAACTGGTCACTAAACGAGCGGTTGTAAATCAAGGACTATCTGTAATGGAGCACATACCACTTCAGAAATGTGGCTTGTTCCACTGCTTAATCATTCTCACAGCCAGGTCTTTGCACGCTGCATGCTGAGTGACACAGCCAACGTACAAAGCGGGGGGGGGGGACTCCCTTGACCCCCTCAGGGTCCAGGGCTGACCTTTCTGCAGGGGCAAAGTAGTGGGGCCCTCTGTTTCTTTCCCGGGGCCCAGAAAAGCCTAGCCCACAGGCCCAGCTGGCTTAGCCTGCAATTTATTCTTATTTATCTATTTCCCACCTTTATTGTCTTTATAAATAACTCAAGACAATGGACATATCCGACACAACATCCTCCTGCTTTTTCCCACAACAACAACAACAATCCTGTGAGGAGGGTTGGGCTGAGACAGAGGGACTGGCCCAAAGTCACCTAGCTGGCTTTTGTGCCTAAGGCGGGACTAGAACTCCCTGTCTCTTGGGGATTGGCCCAAAGTCACCCAGCCCTCTTTTATGCCTAAGGCGGGACTAGAACTCACCGTCTCCTGGTGATTGGCCCAAAGTCACCCAGCTGGCTTTCATAGCTAAGGCGGAACTAGAATTCACTGTCTCCTGATGATTGGCCCAAAGTCACCCAGCTGGCTTTCATAGCTAAGGCGGGACTAAAACTCCCAGTCTCCTGGTGATTGGCCCAAAGTCACCCAGCCCTCTTTCATACCTAAGGCGGGACTAGAACTCACCGTCTCCTGATGATTGGCCCAAAGTCACCCAGCCCTCTTTCAGGCCTAAGGCGGGGCTAGAATTCACCGTCTCCTGATGATTGGCCCAAAGTCACCCAGCCGGCTTTCGTAGCTAAGGCGGGACTAGAACTCACCGTCTCCAGGTAATTGCTCTGCTGGCTGGGGAATTCTGGGAGTTGAAGTCCCCATGTCTTAAAGGGCCCAGTTTGAGAAACACTTGTGAATTTACCTTATGTGTTCAGCGGGGCTAACCTCAAGTCTGAACCTTCTTGGGATCCTCCTGAACCCATG